AAAATTGTTATTTGACGTTCGTGCGTTTTGTAGGTTAGGTTTTGTATGTAAAACGCCTGATCGTAATACAAATACATAACTTTTGATAGTTACTACCAACTCATACGAAGATAGACCCGTAACATAGCATAACAATAACATATTTAGTTTACCTATCAACCAAATTACTTGTTTGCCAATGTACTTGTGATCCTGTTCTAGGTGTACACCCATTAACCTGTTAAACTGTCAACCTGTTTATTTGTTTACATATTCCCCCATCTACCCGTTTTGCTGTCTACCATTTTAAATATTCTCCAATTTGCCTGTTCACCAATTTACCTATAAATCTATAAATTTACCTGTCTACCTACTCAACTATTTATTTGTTTGCTAGTTTACCTATCTTCTAGTTTAGCTGCTAAATTAAAGGTAATTAGTTAAAAAAATTATAATTACTATTAAAAATGCGGTTTGTGGTAGGAGGTTAAAAATATCATAAATATTCTCATAATTTTTCCATCAGTGTGCTTTTTTAAAAATCAATTATGTATTATTATTAAGAGTATCAATCATCGACTGCATTCCAAAAATGTTGAACGAGTTTAAACACTTTCTTAAATATTGACACAGAAATTCAGAAGACCATTCGATTCTTGTGGAAACTTTTTTTATGATTAATCATTTAACATTAAAAAATGTTGGCTGTTTTTTAATTATTGAATCAAAACATTTCGAATTTTGGGTGATAGTTATTTTACAGAGATTCACAAAAATTATCAATTATATTACAAAAATATATAATATATTCAAACGAGAAGCAAATCGTTTTGAAAAAAATTTTAAGTTTTTAAAAAATATTAAAAGTTTTAAAATTTTTAAATTACTGTACAAAAAGTTTCAGCAATTTGCCTCAAGGCACGATGCCATACACCAGTTTTGTTTTGTATTGTTTATATTGTAATTATATATTCATTTATTGATTTTAATTACATTTTTAAATTTTTTTTTTCATTTTATAAAATTTATTTATTATTATTATTATATTTGCTTCTTGCTTGTGTAACAATAGCTTTGTGCAACACTGTATCTCGATTGCTATTTTCAATAAAAAATTTTTTTATTAAATCCACGTATTGGTCGTTTATAAAAAATTATTCCCCCATGGCGAATAAAATACGCCATGGATAATAACAATAAGAGATTGCATCTATTATTAGTTATTATTGTTGGTCAACAATACAGGTAATATTTTCGACCAACATTGTATCAACATCGATTAAATGTTACGAATACAATTTATATTATAATTTCAAAAGCTGACATCCGATTCCATTGATTGCTCCAAAGTCTTCTTTAAACTTTCGCCCGGACTGGTATTAATTTCATCAGAATTGTGGAACAAGAACAGATTACAAGATTATAACACTTGCACTTTCTTCTCTCCGAACAAAAAGTTTCGTTTACACAATCGAAATCATAAAAGCATTTTGAATAACAAAAAGATGAATAAGAAGATTTTTGAGAATGAAATATAATAATACTATCTATAGAGGTTTGGATTGTATTTGGAATCGAAGCAATGGGGAAGATTATTGACTGAACTTTCTTACTATGAACACATGAATTTTTTGGCAAAGCCAGGTCTAGCCGTTTTGAAGATATTGGGCAAAAAGTGCCAAAAATGGTATTCAAATTTTTGAGGTAACGGAGGACCTTTTGGACCTTCTACTTGGCCTTTCGTCGACGTTTTCTTCAAAGACGGCTGCACCGATTTCAATTTTGAAATCTATTTGATGAGACTCGATAAGGATCAAGGACAACCGTTTGGGTTGCCATCTATAAAAACCAGGTCATTCAAGATGTCAGCACAACATCTCAAAGGACTCGTTTAGTTCCAATTACAATTAAAAATAAATAAAAAATAATCTATATATTATTATTATTACGACTTGATTTCATCACAATTACAGTGCAAGGTACCATGTGAAAAATTCACTCAACCATTCCGATGCAATATTACTCAATGTTCAATCTTTAAGAAAGTGGTCAGTGAATATTCGGCACCTATAAATAAACGGTCGATAATAAAAAAAAACTTTCTCATCATCGGATTATTCGGTGAAATATTATACTTTCTTTTTGGAAATAAGCGAATTATGCGAGCTGAATTAAATATTTAATGTATAATATGATAATAATGCGCATTCAATGGAATTAATTTGGAAACGGTCGTTGGTCAAAGAAGAAATTTTGAATTTATTAGAATAGTTGCAAACAATTTTTTATTGGATTTTATAATAACAAAGATAGTTTTTATTTCTAATTTGAACTTTGATTTTAAAATAATTGCTGTAATAAAAAATCTAGATCTTGTTGCCTAAAATTTTATTTTAGGATCAATTTGTTGATTGCCATTTTCCAAATTATTGTTATAGAGTAAGACAGAGCAGAAAAATACATATCATACTATTTCGTATTGTCTACATCTTAATAATAATAATATAATATAAAAGTTTAGTTGGCCCTTTTTACCCTATTCACAGTAAGTGTTCAAAACCAAAAAACTACCAATTAAAATGATTGGTTAAAATAATTGGTAAACAAACCAAAGATACATTTCCGTTTTTCTCCTGATAGCGACGTCGTACGAATTAAGGTGATGACTAGTTACACATCTTTTGCCTTCAACTTTAAAATAGTATTACTAAAAAATGTTATTCTTTGCTAATTTTTGTAATAATCGTGGACCTTTTTATCTGCAGGCCCTTAAGCCTTGCTCTACCCTATATACTAATTAAAAACTATGTGCACAAAAATTGATTCAAGCGTTTTTCTTAAATGTTTTCAAGAATAAGATGTTAATTAAACCTGCACCTGTAATTTTAAAATTACATATATATATATATATATATATATATATATATATCAATATATAAATGTATATTCTCATAATGCGTGCGTAGTTCTTATATTGCAATGTAGGCCAGTGTTTTAGAATACGGAAGTAGATAGAGCGATTATTTGATACAAAATAAAATAAAAAACCCATTTGTACGAAAGAAAGCTGTCTGTCTCAGTATGTATGTTTGGTCGCCTTTCAAAAAACTCGAAACTCGATCGAAAATCAACTCGAACACTCTTTCTTAACAGTTTAACAGTTTAACGTTGTTGCATTTCAGCATTCCCAGGAATTCGCATTCGAATTGGGAAACGTTAAATAATATGTAAAATATTGATAACGAGCACCTCGATGCAGTCGCACAGATGCAAAAATTTATATTTACATTTTTTTATATATATTTTCAACAGCTATTGGAACCTTAAGTTCTATAAGCTGTTGAGATGAAACTCCGCACTTCGTATTCTTAGATGGTAACCATCCATCCATCTTTGATTATTTTTATTATAATTAGCTGACATTTTTTATTGGTGCAACAATGCCGGATTAAATGCTATTTTTACTTGGAAACATATTGCTATCTATATTTCCATGTGGAAATCGTTGTCACTGCCGCCAGACAATAGACTGCTCGAAGTGGGTATCGAACCCGGGACCTCTGAATCAAGTCTCGTCGCTCTTTACTTACAGGCGAAGCCCAAAACACAAAATTGTGCAAAATATTCGAACATGCATTGATAATAATAATAATAAATGGTAGTCTGCCCGAAAGAAGTTTCCTGGTGTAAAAGCACCACAAACCAATGGTTCCCTTTTCCTACCTCTCTTGTTTAATATTTCCATCACCATTGATCACTTTTTATTAATGTTCTTGGATTTTCCTTTGCAAACTTCTGCTTCCATGCTTCCTGATCCTGTGCTTCTTGAAGTTCCCTGTATTTTCCGGCAAGTCATCAATCATCTGTATTTTTCTTTTTCCCAATCCTTTCAGTCCTCTATTTCATCTTCGACAGTGTCATTTAGGAGGCACTCTTTTTGCAGAATGGATCCTATTTAGTTTCCTTTTCATTTTAGAATCGTGCTTTTTAACACATCTTTATTTGATATTTTGTCTACCCACTTCATCTTCTCCATTTGCCTCCAAAAAATCACATCAAAAACAAAATATATATACATATATGAAAATAATTGTGATGACATCAACTTTAACAACCGTTAAAAAAATCGCTAAGACGGTATTAAAAAACAAAATAGATAAAATACTGTAAAAATCAAATTGTATAAAATACTATCTGTAAAAGCAAAATATTGTTTGATATCGAAATGAGCACATTCAAAACTTCATAGAATTATTTGGCTTAATTTTTTTTTTCTAATATAAAGTGGTAAAAAATTAAAAAGCAGTCAATTGTGTTAAAGACGTCAATTGTGTTAAAAGAAACTACAAATATTATAATGACAAAAAATAAATTTCGAGAAGTTTGAAATGTGTGTAAATAATTGCACGTCCAAATTAATTTTTTTGTGCATTTCGACTTCCTATTTGTCACACTGACGTCAAAATAAGAAACTCCAAATTAATCCTCATACGTCACAATCATAAAAAATTAAATAATCATTTATTATACCATGTAATTATTTTATTGCTATCTCCAACTTCGCACGCCAGCGAATTTCTTCATCCAGAATTTGTGTTATTTTTTTTTAAGGAGATCATTAAATTAATATCAGCCAGTCAAATGCATTCTCCGGGAGGTCAGTAGCATCAAAATGGAAATATATTCAATAACGAACAATTATTTAGAAGAAAGAACCAATTCATGCTTGATTTGTGATTTATATTTATGCATTGTGCAAATCTTACAATCGAAACTGTTAAAACGCTTTCTCGTGCAGAAAATGAGACTCAGGTCGAATCGAAAGAAGCCGGAGATGAATCTTATAGATAGAGTGATATTTGTTTTGCAAAATGTATTATTGAATTCATTTATGCAATTAATGCACTTAATTGCATTTCGATTAGTGCGGATTATGATTTCTTCAAGGTCTTACTGGTCAAGATTTGACCAGCTAATTTTGTAATCGACCAGAAAATTGAAACGATTTCTATTTGTTGCAGGATATACAACTTGATGTCTTCCTTGTTCCTACTAGTCAATCTGTGAGATCGTCGAAAACTTTGAACATCAAATCAAGATGACGAATGTAACTAATACCACATCCACCAGTTACTGGGATTATTTATTTGAAGAACTAGCAGGTAAATTGAATTATTTGTAACAAAAATCAAAATCAAACAATGATCACTGACAACATAATTTCATTTTCGATGTTGCTTCAAATTTTCTACACCAGGATTCGTTCACAAAAAGACACAATAATTCAAAAAAAAAAATAATTAGTTCTTTTCACCATTTCGGAAGAAAAGTTAACGTTTCCTAAATTCTAATTTTTATTCTTCCCCAGATCCCAGGACGAACTCATGGCCCTTAATTGGAAGTCCTGTACCAGGATTGACGATATTGGGAGTTTACTTGTTTTTTGTTCTAAATTGGGGCCCAAAATATATGGCGCATAGAAAACCATACGAAATGCAAGGACTTCTTATTGTATATAATTTGTTACAAGTGCTTCTTAGTATCTTTCTATTCTATGAGGTATGTGGAATAAAACTAAAATGAAACTTGGATGGAAATTGTTCATTATATAGATCGTTTGTGGTGATTACAGGGATTGGATGCAGCTTGGTTAACAAAATATAGCTGGAAATGCGAGCCAGTAGATTATTCAAATTCGGAAGAAGCAATGAGGGTAAGTAAACAAAAATTCCATTTCAACAAACAATCATTTTCATTTTCAACGAACCAACGATTCAGCAATAGTTGTGTTCATTATCTTTCACTTTATCCAGCTAGGCGCATTATCTAGTGTAAGAGATCACAGTACAATTATCTTCCACTTGTTTTTTATTGCAGATAGCAAGAGGCGTGTACATTTACTTCTTGGCAAAGATTTCTGAACTTCTAGACACTGTATTTTTTGTTCTCCGGAAAAAAGATCGTCAAATCACATTCCTGCACATGTACCATCATACCGTGATGCCAATGGTGTCCTGGGGTGTTACCAAATACTTTGCTGGTGGTCACGGAACCTTCATTGGTGTCATCAACTCATTTGTCCATATCATCATGTACACCTACTACATGTTGGCAGCGATGGGACCTAAATACCAGAAGTACATCTGGTGGAAGAAGTATATAACCCATTTGCAAATGGTAAGTAGAAGGAGATAATTAAATAAATACATATATATAGTATTGGCATAGTTCTGTTTCTCTTATTTAACTTTTATTTTTTCCTCAGGTTCAGTTCTGCATGGCCTTCTTGCACTCTGCTCAACTTCTGTTCTACGACTGTGGTTTCCCTCGTTGGTCCGTCTTCTTCACCTTGCCAAATGCCATCTTCTTCTACATTTTATTCAACGACTTCTACCAGAAATCTTACAAGAGCTCACCAGCCAAATCCAAAGGCGACAGCAAAGCAACCAAAACCAAAAAGTCATAATATCATTAAAGATATCATGAAATATTTTTGAGTTCAAATGACACTGGTTAATTTATTTAACCATATTTTTATATAAATAGTTATATATATAGTTGTATAAAATTGTTTTTATTTGATGTATATTTTTTTAATATTATGTTTACAGAGTTACCAATAGATATATATTATATATACAGAAAGAATAATTTAATCTTTAACATAAATTTAGGTGAATATCGTGCTAATACATAGTATAGATTACTCATTCAGAATTCTGTATTTATTTGTATTGTTTTGTATAAATAAATGTTTTTGATAAGTTAACTGGTAATTTTAAATATGCCCTAAGGCAGGTAAGTATTATAAATAAGATTTACCATTACCATTTTAAGTGAAAATTGACTGCTTGGTATCATGTCGTCAAGAGCGGAGGATCGAACTAACGACCCTGCTTGTATAACAATATACTTTTACATGTTTCATATAACGTGGACTTCAATTTATGTATGATTTTGAAATGTGTTCATAAAAATATACATAAACTTTCCTACAATACGGAAATCGCGCTATAAGAAGCTCGAAAATAGGAGAAATTACATTATTTGTACTGCATTATATGAAGATGAATAAATAGAAAAAATGACATTATAAATTTTAAATTGTTTTTATTGGAATAAAAAATCCATCTGAAATCTAAACTAAAAAAAACTGTTCACAAAACAAATTTCAAACAGAATCTTTTTTTAGAAAGACTAACGTTCTATGAAAGAACTCTGGCAATACTAAAACCAAAGTTGCATATTGTTATGATATTAACTGGCATGTTTACAATATATTTATACAGTAAAAGATAAAATAATCGATGATAAAGCATATATTAAAACCTTTTACAACACTATCTAGTTAGTAAATTCTTTCATAGAAAAGAACTCATGGGCTGTTGAACGAAAACCGCACTGTAGAAGTATCGCGTTATAGAAGGGTTGACTGCATTCCGTTTGAGCAAGCTGTTATAAATTATTTATATTTTATAAATAACTGATTTTTATCGAAATCCGCCTGAAAGCATATCTCAATATTCTGCTGTTCTATTATTTTTGATTATGAAAGAATGTTTCAGGCGTATAATTACAGCATTTTTGGGAAAAACATGACCATGATGGCAACACGCTCGACTCGCATGGAAGAGGTATTGATGTCACATCCAGGCATTTTGTATGAAGAAATTGAATGAAATACAAGCACAATATTACAAAAAATATGTAGAACTTCGAATACTGTAGGATAAAAAATAAAATAAAAATAATGTATGTTTGTAAGAGGTCGGATGAGGGCAGCAGGTAGATACAAACTTTTTTTTTATTTTATTTATTTTATTATGTTTATTTTGTTATACTTTTAACAACAATGTGTCATACTAGAACATTCAGTAATCGTTTTCACATTATTATATGGCTTTTCAGAATGGGTGGGAACCCAGTTATGACTAATTAACTGTATTTGAATTATTTGTCGTTATTTATATGCAGCTATACCCACGAAATGCGATTTTCACCTGAGATCTATAACCTCAAGTGAAAATTTGACATCAATGCTGCCTGATGTAAGATTTTGACCGTAGATGGTACCGAACCAGCAAACCCGGGACTAGTTTGTGGTAGCCTACGCCTGAACTGATTACGCCACCGCTGGGCCGATATAGGTAAATAATTATATATATATATATATATATATATATACACTATTCAAAACTAAAATTCCAATAATTAAATTATTTTAAAACGTTAATTCAAAATATGGTAACTTTATTAGAAAATAAAAATGTATCATGTAAGGGCCTTCACGTAGATAATTTTTCAAAAATTTTTGTAAGACCCCCCTTAATCACGTGAGTTTTTTAGGATGGGTAATTTCATTCAAAATTACACCCCCCCCCTTTTTTCACAAACATCACGTGCATTTTGAGATACGTGTAAAAACTAACATTTTTGATTTTTTTTGAAAAGTTTCAACCTTTTTAAAAAAATAGTTAGAAAATAATACACGTGTATCTTTGCTATACCCCTCCCTCCCCCACGTGATATTTTGTCATTTTTGCCAACCTTCCTCTCCCTAAAACCTCACGTGATTAATGGACGCCCTTAACTATATCAACAACAGCCCCTGCCAAATTTTAAAATTATGTGTCACCATTTTGCTAAATGTCCATTCATATCGATTAAATAGATTTTTGCCACTTACCTTAGGCAGTAATAATGCCATTTACACCTAGGTTTTACGACGTAGTATCATTATATATGTATATATATATATATATATATATATATATATATATATATACATGATATTGTATATAAATTATTTTTAACTAATTTTGGACACCCGGTTTATCATCTATGATAGTATATTAATGCATACCTTTAGTTACGCGCCTAAGCCTTCCTCTGAAACCTTGTTTTTTTCACAAAATCACTGGACATTTTTCAAAATCCAGGAAACAACCACATCATTATTTTATTATCATTATTTAACTACAATTCCAATAAATGAGACACTAAATAAATATACATGTGCACACAGAATAAAAAATAATCCATCACTACCAATATTAAATTTCTTTCCTTCTGTCAAAAGGTAAATTACATAAATGACCACCAGAAGGAGGGAGGAACGTAAAATATTTTGTATATTAAATAACAAAGTTTCTCAACATTTTTAAAGATGAATCAAACAATACAAAAATGTTGTTTATTATAAATGTACTTAAGTCGTATAACAAATAAAAAAATATTGTTATTCATACTGCTGATACAAATTTGCTTTTAAAATATATTAAAAATTGTTATAATTCATAAAGTAATATATTTAAATTATACAATTTTGGGTTTGTTTTCATATTTTTATTTTGAAAGTGTATATTTTTTATTTTAAGTACACTACATATAAATAAATATTTTGCTTCTAAATTTAATGCAAAAACGTTGAAGGTAAATATGGTACATATGGCAAAAATCGAATTCATATACAAATCAATTATTAATTATAAATATATGTCTTTTATCAAAAAATAAAAACAGTTTAAATTTTGTAAGACTTTTTATTGAAAACATTAGCAAACTAAATTTAAACTTAACCGAAATTTTATCACATAAATTATAAAATAAATAATCCACCTATTCTTAAAAAATAAAATAAAATCTAAAAAAACTTAATGTTAAATAAATAAATTAGTTGCACAAATAGTGCGTTGGTCTTCAAAATGGTAAATATTCTGATATGATATTTAGTTATTTTTGGTGAACAAAATATTAACTAGTATAAAATGAACAAAGTTAAACACTTTGTTGTTATTTTATTTTGGTGCCACTTTGATTTAGATAAATCTATGGACTTTTTAAAAAATTATGTTTATATCCTATAACTAAACAATAAATTAAATAAATTCGAATTTCATGGAAGACAGTATTATAAAAATATTATGTTTGTTGTTGTTTTATTAGAGTTATTTAATTTACCATTAATAATTTCTTGATTAAAATTATTTGGTGAGTTAAAGTTTGTGTATAAAATTTGAAGATTAACAGTAGGGAAGAGTCCAATGTATTCTCGTTGTTTCAACAAAAGTATATTCTGAAAATTAAATTTTTTATCCAAAATTTGTTTTAAATCTTTGCATTTTAAGAATCTCTGGTTTGTATGGCACACCTTAAAAATATATTATATATGAATGGCTGCACTGAATCGACTAGGATGATTCAAAAACATTCGATTCGTATTTTTAATGCGCAGAAAACATTTGGTGAAGGCGTGCCTATAAGGCAGGCACATATAGGGGCCAATTCACAGATAAAATAGACCATAACAGTCCTTTTTTCATATAAATTGGTAGTAAAAACTGTCAAATTGCTACGTATTTGGTGTACGATTAAACGTTACGGTCTATTTTCTGGGAAATTGGCCCCGAAATTTACATCAAACTCTTCCCGTTTAAATGGTAATTTAAATAAGTTCCAGTATAAAAATGTCTAATTTACATAAATATCCTCTGTGATAACTTATTTGTGATCGATTCTATTAATATTTGGCAATAACAAATCAATTATCTCAATTTTGGTCCTTAAATCAATCGCACTTGACTGCTTTGGTGCCGTTAGAGTGGGCTAACTTTTTCGCCGAGGCATCCTCATTTTTCTTGTAGGTCTTTCTGTAGAAGTCACTGAACAGATACAAGAAGATGATCACGTTGCCGACGAAGAAGAAGGTCAGGGAACGAGGCAGGTTGCAGTCCATGGCGACGATAAAGACCAGGTATGCCAACATCATGCAGAATTGGGTCTGGGGGGAGAAAGATACAGGTTAAAGGTAAACGATCACCTAAGATGTGTAAAAAATGGGGTTAATAGATAGACATTTTTGGTCTCGTTGCATTTGGCTGCATGTAATATTATTAACTTTCCGAAGATTGTAGTAAGTTGTCCTACTATCATAGTACGATGGTACAATATCATAGTACAATCGTGAATTTCAAAGTACGATTGTACAATATCGTAGTAGGATTGTATAATATCGGAATACGATCATACAATATCGTAGTAGGTTCGTACAATATCGTAGTACGATCATATAATATTGTAGTAGTATAGCGTACTATCGTAGTAAGATTGAGCACTATCGTACATACTCTGGATTATTTACTTCTTCATTTTGTTCCAATTACTCACGAGGGCATCAGGAGGCCTACTTTGTAAACCATCATAAACTGTCACATAAATCGTTCAATAAAACAATAGGCATTCAATTTCCTTCCATCGCCGCGTTGTAAGTAAAAGCTAATTTAAGACAAAGCAGTAAAATCTAAACACTTTCTTAATAAATCTCGATACGGTTATAACTATTAACTTTCTATTCGAACGACTTAATGAAGTGACTTATAAAAGTAGTTCTTACCAATTGGATCCATGTCATGTATTTTTCCACCAGAGGTACTTTTGGTATTCAGGACCCATTGCTGCCACCATGTA